CGTCTGACTAAACTGATACGATTATTAGTGACAAATGTAATTTTATACGCGAAAGTAACAATTATGATTTATGCTCGAAAGCTTGACTGACATCCACTTGTTAATACTGCATTATGGCTGTGTGTGTGGTATTTGAAGTAAACATATCTAATATGAAAAAGAAAGGAGTCTTAGCCTACCTACAAAGAAATATATTCTTTTCTGTTGTGAAAGAGTAGGCGGTTCAGTTACCACACATAATACAAAAGACAATGAATAGGAATTTTCCAGTCTGAATGATTATTAATAATAATTATTAAAGATGTCTAATTATCCTTATAGTGAGTTCGTTGTGTGTTTTTACGCTTTTTTTTGTATACAATTATGTAATAAATAGAACACAAAAACTTGAGATGACGTCATTCCTCCTACATCACTAGATAAGCCAATAAACATTGAGTTACAGAAAAAAAAATGAAACTGTTTAAACGTAGGCAAGTAGGCGAAGAAATCAGCAGAATGTTAATCATTCGTGAATCAGCGTTCAGCGTTTGTAGACTTCAGAAGTGCTAAACGCTAATGAACAGTGATGAAGAATAAAAAAAACAGAGACAATTGTACAACTCATTAGGATGAAATAGCCAGTAAACTTAAGTGATTAAGTCGGCTAGATTCCGTGTATTCTACTAGACTGACATATTAAAGTATGAAACCAGTTGTTGTTTCAATATTCTGTTTTTTGAGATGCAATCAGTAGTGTTCTCTCAGCTGGTTGGTTTAGTTCCAGAGTTTTAGTCGTCCCCCCACCCAACTCTACATAACATTTTCAGCTCAATGTTAAGAATAAAGTTAACTGATTTAAATTTTTCACGCGCTGGTAGAATTGCATCTCACGGTAACCATCTTTACATCTGCATACATCATTTTTATTGACTTGGATTTTGAACCTTTTTTGCCACATGATTTTTTCTTTTATTAGCTGGTATGTTTGGTCTATATTAACGGTTTTGCTAATTGGTCAGTGAATCGTTTAAGGTAGCAGGCTTCTAGGAATTCTCTTTCACTTTCGATGTTTCCTCTGTCTTGAATTTCAACATTATCCCAATCATATCAAATTGATGTCCATAATTATCCATATGCATTGATATGAAAGAATACACATATCATGGATTTTCACCGCTGATTTGTGTTCTTGGATTCTGATTCGAAAGGGAACGCTCACTTTGGCCGATGTGTAATGCTTGCTACAGTTCATACAATTTATTTTGTAAATGGTATTAATCTTGTCTCCTTTTTCTGTTGGATCTTTCGGTATGCATAATTTCGAATGAAGTGATTCTGTTGGCTGGTTGGCTGGCTTATGTGCTGTATCTATTTCAAACGGTTTCAGTATTCCAGTTGTTATTTCATACATATTTATCACATATGTTAGAGTGGGTTTTCTTGTAGTCTTTGATGATGGTTTCTTGTTGTTGTGAATCTATATTGAAGACATTTTGATGAAATTTCGTGAATATACATGTAATACTGAAGCACATCAAATACTCGCCAGAGTACACCACGTATTTGAAGGTCATATTTCATCAGATTTAAACAAAATGAAGAAGAGAAAATATCCATGAAATATCGATTGGATATTTCGGTAGGCCGAATTTATACAGGTCACATCGACCTAGAAAAATGGTGTATTGCATTCACTTGCATGTAATAACTGAATAGGTTTGGTTAGACAGGTTTAGAGTTAGTTGGAGACAGTGGGAGGGAGAGAGAGAAAGAGAGAAAGCGGTTAATCACTGAATCTTTGTTTATCGACTCAACACCGCGCAAGTGCAATCGGAATGATGCAACGCCTATACAAAAGATATGCAATGTGAAACTACATCGCTCTTCGTTATTACTATTCTTTTTGTCTCATATCCCTGCTTACTATCTCTATTTTACACTTCTTCTACTTTCTTCTTTTGCTTTGTGTGCTACATGGAGGAATTGTGGAGACTTGAACTGCTGCACATCGGTGCAAAGTTCTATGTTGAAGATAGACAAACAGGTGAATGGCATTCATAATCCATCAGTGATGATGAGGCTGTTACTCGGAACGCTACTGGGAGGTTGAGCGAAGGTAGCATATGGTAATGTGATACACCGACGAATACTTACTACTCTTTTTATTATCATTGTTATTCACTGACGTAGAAATACACTAAGAGTTTGTTAAAAATTAGAAATTAACATCATAAAATTGTTGTTTTTTATATTTTTATAAATATGTCTCAACACATCACACAGGATAATTTACTTCTTGTATTACCCTTGTCTCTCTATCTATCTATACTTACTTTACTTTACTTCGGCTATCTCCTACGGGAGGATGAGCCGGCTTCATGAACTCATGAAGTTTCATGGGAATTAGGTACGAGTGATGTCCCCAGAATCGCTCGGCCTTTTGTTTGAGAGTGCAGCTCTAGCCTTTACACAACCAAGTGTGACCTACAAGACAGTAGGAGTGGAGTAGGGAGTCCACTATCCATTGTCAGCCAGCCGGTGACCGGAGTCCGGTTGATACGCGTTTTTGAATGGGGCCAGACATCCAGGGCATCCAATAAGCCCTTTGTCCATACGTCTGCCGGTGAGCTTCATACGCCAGTCGTTGGAGGTTTGGAATCAGAGTTTAGCCATCTCCCCTGGACTATCATCCAATGAACAGTCAACCCGGTGAAGAGTTCCGGGCATCCGCTTTTGCCCTCTCACTTTGGTGAAAAACACCTCCGCCCCGTGAAGGCAGTGAGTAGGACTTCCTCAGGAGAGGCTATGTAAGACGCCTGGTCATATGGGAGCATTTCAAGAGGTGTTCGGAGGGGTGGCCAACCCGCAGCGCAAGGCACCCATCCCCGACCATCCTGAGGCTTTGGAGGCTATCTATCTATCCATCCATCCATCTATCTATCTATAAGAATAATGATGTCATGACTAATTTCACAACACTATTGTCACTGAGATTATTTTCCCAATGTTTCGTTTTATTTCTTCCATGTATGTCTATTGAGCATTGAAAATAATTGTCCCGTTTAATTGGAATTTTTCTCGTGGATATATTTGCAATAGTAGAGTCACCATTGAATTGCCGCGTGACTGCCAAAAAAAAATCTCCTATACTTCATTCGCCTTTCCTTTGTTCTCGACTAATTGCTTATTTTTCTTTCTTTCTTTCTTTGATGTGATGTAAAGAACTTAAGTTGTTACCATTGTTGCTGTTGTTGTTGTTGTTCCTGTTGTTCCCGTTGAGGATCTTGTCATCGTGTTGTTTCTTTGTCCGTATCCCTACTACTAATACTCACTGTCTATCCTTCAGTTAGCTTTTGTCTTTCTCTCTGTTTGTTTGTGTGTGTGTGTGTGTGTGTGTGCAAGTCTGTGGCCTCGTCTCACATCATACTGTTACGGAGTATTATTATTATCATTACAATTACTTCATAAATACTTTTATCTCTCTTTTTATTTTGTATAATCCAATTATCATTTGTTTCTTACTAATTAATAATGTCAGAGACATCACTAATTCGATGTTGCACGATTTCTTTGTGCAAAGGACCCAGAATTTTAACTAACTACTTCGCTGTTCCGTGAAATGGAGAGTTATATATGTATCTAAAACAGGGCGAAGAGGGAGACCCGGTTAGTGCACTTTTGGTAGACCGTAAAGTCGTGGAGTATTGGTACCCGTAGGTTTCATGGACTCATACGTGGTTGAAGATAACACTCCTATTTGGTTCGATTTTTTGAGGGAGTCGGTCATTAGTTTCTCAGTTCTTGCATTGAGGTCTTTGGAAACACCAAGCGATTGGAATTTAGTTTGATCACTCAAGACACCTTCCATTTTCTCAAAATAATCGTTTTTGTCCAGTAAAACTATACCATCACCTTTATCCGGCTTGCTAATAATTAAACTTTCGTTGCTTCTAAGTTCTCTTAGAGCTTCTCTGTGTTGTTTAGATAAAAGACTGTATACTGAATGTTTATTATTCTTGTATTGCTGGCAGCTGTCCACTAGCGTCGTTTTGAACCTAGTAAGTTCATCGTCCGACGATGGGGTAAGATCTGACGTTTGAGAATACAAATTTTCAAACTGTATTTCAGTGTCTAATTGATCAATTTAGGAACAAAATTACTAAATTTATGACCTAGGGATAACACCTTTCAATTGAAACTTATTAAGCACAACACTGGAAAAATTGTGAACATACTGGCCCGGATCTGACGGAAATTTCCTTTCAAGCTTTTGGCTAATAATGATAATAATAATAATACTGGTACTATTACTATATTATATATTAGTAATATTTATAATAACAGGATTTCATCATGAGCTGACATTTAGTTAGAAGACCATTGGAAAACCTGGGAGTACTGGACAGCTGTTTCGTCCAAGTTTGGGACTCTTCAGCAGTACGCACCCGCCACTAGGCTTCGAACCCAGGACCTTCCGGTTACAAGGCGAGTTCGTATACCATTAAGCCACTGGGACCCGATCCAATGGTCCTTGAATTCTAACTTCTGCCAATTCACGACATAGCGCGACCGCTAGCCAATGTCTTTGGCGAGTATTTGTCCTCACACCCGACCCGCTGCACCCTACTGGTGACGACTTCCCACTGGAACCCAGGTAACTACCTACTTGAATAGGGCCAGTCGCCAGTGAGCATCTCATTGGTATTTAAGTCGGTCGCGCTATGTCGTGAATTGGCGGAAGTTAGAATTCAAGGACCATTGGATCAGGTCCCAGTGGCTTAATGGTATACGAACTCGCCTTGTAACCGGAAGGTCCTGGGTTCGAAGCCTAGTGGTGGGTGCGTACTGCTGAAGAGTCCCAAACTTGGACGAAACAGCTGTCCAGTACTCCCAGGTTTTCCAATGGTCCTCTAACTAATGTCAGCTCATGATGAAATCCTGAAACCAATCAAATCCCTACAAACCAACACTTAAATTTATAATAACAGTAAAACTTTTATTCTTCCTCTTACTTCTAGGCACAAAAACATCGTCAACGTTTGCGTACAGCGCTAACAAATTTTCAAGGCTTTTTATCACATTTAGGCGGTTTATTCACTATTACTGCACAACAGTCGTCGACATCAGACGATTCTAATAAAGCAACAACGCTATCTGACACAGTTGACAAGAATTGTAGTACTTCAGTTAGACAGTCTAGTGATGATAATAACACGACAGCTGACAAAGCTGTCCGACCACTTTTGATTGGTTACAGTGAATTGGATCATTGTTGGTTGAGAGAATTACAGAATCGAGTTTATACGTGTTATAGTGATAAAAAATTCATTCAAAAGTTAAAAAATGTGTTTCATTAAATTTGTAATTAACTTTTTAACTATTTTGTTTGTTTATTTCCGAATACACTTGTTTCTTGTTGAAAAAAGATTTAAAATAAATTATTTGTATATATATTTTTACATCTTTATTGTATTGATTCCACACAGTATTTTGGTAGAATATACACATTAAGTCACATGGGAGTTAATTAAGAAGACAATTGCAATTTTTTTTAAATTTTTTTTTTTTTTAAAAAAAAAAAAAAAAAAAAAAATTTTTTGGGAAAAAAAAAAAAAAAAAAAAAAAAAAAATTAAATAAAAAAAAAAAAAAAAAAGGGGGGGGGGGTAAAAAAAAAAAAAAAAATAAAATTATAAAAAAATTTATTTTTATAGGGGGGAAAAATAAAAAAAAAAAAAAAAAAAGAGGTTTGTAAAAAAAAAAAATTAAAAAATTTTTTTAAAGGGGTAAAAAATTAAAAAAAAAAAAAAAAAAAAAAAAAAAAAAGATGGGTAAAAAAATGTGGTGGTAAAAAGGGTGAAAAAAATAAAAAAAAAAAAAAAAAGGGGGTTTTAAAAAAAAGGGAGGGGGGTTTATAAAAAATTACCTTTTTTTATGGCCGGCAGGGGCAGGGGTGGGGGATTTTTTTTTTATACAAAGCGTGGGTTTGAGCTTTTGGATAGCTAGCACCTCGGCTATGCCCAGATGTTTTGATTTCACTCCCTTTGATAGGTTTGATCGAATCTTGTATATTACTTTGAACGATTTTTCGGAAGGCGCTGAATGTCCTGAATTGACCAGATGTCCTGTCACTGAACTATATACACGCTTTTGGTCTCCTTTTACTAACCAGGTTGGGTAGTGTTCACGAGCGCGTTTTTCAAGTTGGCGCATGGTACGGCCAACGTACTCAGCTCCACAAGAGCAAGTAAACTGGTATATGAACGTTGAGGTGGCCCAATGCAACATCTTGTCTTTCGCGTTCTGGCTGAACAGTTTCTTGCAGGAAAACGTCAGTCACAGGCTCTCGGCGAAGTATGTTTTCCTCAGCGATTTGGAGAGACGTTTGTGAAGGATTTCTGCTTCTATAACACCTTTGAATTCTAGATTAAGCAGAAGTATTTTCTTTGGAACGGATTGGACTTGTTCGGAAGTCTTCTTAGGTTTGAGATTCTTGTCTATGAACCTGGGCGGGAAACCGTTTTCCATCAGGGTTTTTCGAAGATTACGCAGTTCTTCTCAATCACTTCCTTGCTGAATATCTTCCGAATCCTCGAGGAAAGAGCGTATATCAGGTTCCTCTTTCTACTCAGGGGCACGAAGCTTTGAAAGTTGATGAATTGTCCATTCCATGTGGGCTTTTTGTATATGGAACTTTTCAGATAGTTGTCTGCGCTTCTTGTCAGATGGACGTAGAGGAAGTTGAACATTCCGTCGGTAGAAGTTTGGTAATTTCAGCATGTGATATCAGTAGCCCAAATTTAGCAGACTGACAATTGATATCAGGTGTGTGTCGGCTGGGGATGAAATCTCGGACCATTTGTATGGTCGGCGAGGGTCCTAACCACTGTGCTACCGACACACAACTCATAAAAGTGCCGCATGAAATATATAGGTGATGTGCGTCGGTGGCACAGTGGTTAGGACGCTCGCCGACCATGCACATATCTCGGGGTTCGATCCCCGGCCACAAACGCACTTCTTTACCTCGCTTAGTCAGAAATAAAAAGCTGCTAAAAAGGATAGATTGGGCATGAGGCTGGCTAGCAACCCAATCGTGTAAAAATAAACACCACAGTTACAGAAACTTCAAGCCCCCAGCTTGAATCCCTCTGTTCCACTAGAAACGTGAAGGATTAATACATATATTAAATATATGATATAATAAGATGGTGAATATAAATTGTGCAATTAGTCGTAATAATAATAATGGTTTTGTTAATAATAAGGATGAAAAAAGTAAGGCAATCTGTGATGAAACGAATAATGAAAAAACAGCATGATTAAACAGATGTTGAGGTAGACATAGTAATCGATAAAGGCTAGTAAAAACAAATGAACCGATTAGGTAATACTAGATTTTAAGGGAAGGAAATGAGACACGTTTTTAATGAAGATGTGATAAGATTAAGGGATGATAAGAAAGGGGTGGAAAATATAAACAATTCGATTATGCCTTAATAGGCTAATAAGGGAGGGATAATGGCTGTACGAACTTCTTTTGAATGCATAATTTAGGTTTAATAGTTCGAATACCTATCGTCTCATTTGTGTGCTGTAGAAGAATACGAATTCTATTGGAAAGATTCGATGGGATACGATGAGTAACTTTGAAAGCTCTCGTTTTCTCCACCACTTGACCACTATCAACTAAATGTGACAAAATTGAGTTAGGGATTGTATTTGTCTGTCCTTTGCCAAACCATGATGGGAGATGTTTACTAATACATTGACTAAGCTGTCTAGTAGTACACTCAATATGACTGTCACCGCAAGTGCAGTTGAATTGATAAATGCACATGGATGTGAATATATGTGTAAAACTTGGGCACTGTGGGAGTAAGTAATTCCATATTAGTTTGTTTATTAAATGTATCACACAGTGAAACAGTATTTTTATTTCACTGGATGACGTTTCGAACACAATCTATTATTGTTCATAATCACACCAGTCAATTATAATCACACGACTTCGAAACTTGACTTTTATAGTTTTCTTTGTCTTCTCCTATTTGTCGTAGGGGTAGTAAAATCTCCAGATATCTCGCTGGACAGGTGTTGAATCATTCCTATTACATGTATTTGGAGTTGATTGAATAAACAAAGCTTCCATTATTAGTCTTCCTCACTCGCCACCCTGTGACATTAGATTTTAAAACTGTCATCCTATCCCATCTTGTGGTATGGTTGTGTGTGACTGCATATAATGCTACGGCGGAACCATTCTCTAGATTTCTTATCTTATTTGGGTCAACCAATCTAGATTTTGCTAGGTTCTTATGTTCGGCTAGTCTGACTGCCCTGTTCTACTAGTTTGACCTATTCATTTGGCCTGACAATCATTGTACATGGATGTGGCAGAACTATTTATTAGCCTATCCTTCGCGTGCGTCCCAATCATTCGTTGGCTAGAGAATGACAAACATAGGCATGCTGCGTAAAACATTCTCCGTATACTCCTGGAAAGTTTCTGGAACAAAATCTCACTTGATAAGTCACCATTAAATTGTAACTTAATAAATAGCAGTTTCTTATGTGCAGTCAGAGTCTCAGGTTTTCTCTCTGATGTTTTGTTAAACTAAACTTCATTTTTCTAACGCCACACTTCCGTGGGAAAATACAACTGTCAGTGAAATGGACTATTATTATTATTACTGTTAAACGCTGTGATGATTGTATTGAAGACGAAATCAAAAATCTTAAAAATACCCTTCGACAAAAAGAAATGGTTATCGTGCCAATTTTGGTAAATAAGATAAGTGATAAAATTAGGCGTCATACAGTGAATAAGAAAAGTTTTTATTTAACAGTACAGTTCAAAGGTCACATATATATAGAGGCAATGACATATTAAGTCGTAAGTTGATCAGATCATTTGAAAGAACTTTTAATGCTGCATAACTTGCTGCATCTTGCGGAGCAGTTGGAACCCATTCGCTAATGGCTAGGCGTGCAAACAAGCTATGGATGAAGAATTTTAACAGGAGCAGGCTGGATTCAGGAGAAACAAGTCATGCACTGGTCAAATAGCCACACTACGGAACATTCCTGAACAAAGCTTGGAATGGCAGTCAGCCCTTTATCCCAACTTCATTGACTTTGAAAAAAGCCTTTGATAGCGCAGCGTCGATCGAGAGGTGATTTCGAAACCACTCGACTTCTACGGGTGCAGCCAACAATTAAGCATCTCATCCAGCAGCTATACGACAGTGTTACATGCCCAGTTATTCACAACGGGAAACTCACAGTGTCTTTCGAAGTGAAGACTGGAGTAAGGCAATAATCAGACAGCATAAACGAAAGAAATCTGAAAGAAGCAAACTCCTTCACATAACTACCTATCTGGGGAGCATCGTGTCAACTACAGCCGGGCAGAACTGATGAGGTATCATCAAAGTGTGGAGGTCAACCGTACTACTCAGCATGAACAATGACATCCGGATCATCAATTCCAATGTGAAATCAGTGGTACTCACTATACGGATCAGAGACTTGGCGCCGCAGCGTGCTGCATCACGAAGTCCACTTCGATAGAACTACAGATTTTCTTCAACAGTGAGCAAACCAACCCAACAGGAACCAATTGTGAAAGAAATATGCAGGAAGGCCTAGAGGTGGATTGGTTAGCCATACTCTGAGTCAACAAACCATCGTCAAGAGAGTGATATAACACACAATGCAGGCCATCACTCGATTGGAAGGTGAATAGGAAGCGACGAGTTGGCCGTCACCGGAAGCGTGCGGTGAGATGGAGGAGTAGGTGGTGTGAGAAGGGATGAAAGCATGTGGGTAGGTGGACGTGTAGCCAGGCGAAAATCCTGGCGAAGAAATGAACACATTGAAAACATGTGGCTGAAGCCTTATGTACCTCTAGGAATTGGAGAAAGTTGGTCAGGACAGGATGTGTCCTTTTACACAAAGATTTTAGTTATTTTAATTTTGAATAATTTTCCTGAAGAAGTTTGCACAGGTTTGCCAAACGAAACTTGGGAATCCCTGATTTCAATTTCTCTGAGATTTCACAAATATAATATATACACATGTCTGCTTCTTTCTCAGTGACCATTTATTTTGAAACTATTGCGTCAAATCTTGATCACAGCTAGTATGTGTACGACATCATGTCTACTGATTTCATAACATCAGCCTACATTCGGAAGGTTGACTCTGAGGTATTAAGTACCAACATATTCTATTCATGTATGAAACCTACATCCAAGCCTGTAACAACCAAAACCTACTACTCACTGTGGACTCAGTGTATGAGATCATCTTAGAAAAACATCCTACATACACGGTCACAAAACCATCCAAAGACACCGAGAAGACAACCAATCGTTGGGAAATTAATGCAGTTCAATTCAACTATAATCACATGAAAATTCAAAATTACCTCAGTAATGTCACTAGGCGGCT